GAGGTACGGTAGCCGGTAGGTAAACAGGTAGGCATCGCATGTAATAGACTGACAATTTCCAAAAATACACCCATAGTACGTACTCGCTCCCTTGCACGGCCAGGGGCCGGTCGATAGCATAACACTGGTATCCTCGGAGGAACGTGGGGGGTGACAGTGGCACTACTGTAGCTTTCTCTTCGCCGTTGGCGATGGAGTTGACAAACTTGATCAAGTCCAGGGAAAGTTTTCGGTTGTGCAGTAACGGCGCCTGCAGTAACAGGGAGCATAATTCCGCGGTGGTGGTGATCGATGGTGGAGATTTGATACATACATACCTAGTGTGCTCCATGTCTGGTTCGCCCCATCTCTGTTGGGTACGTAGTCTCCTAGGGGCAGAGCCTACGCGTCACCCGCGGTGGCGGCGGCGGCGTCGAGTCTCGATGTCCCAAGGGAATGTAAAAAGGAAAGAAGATGGTACGATTTCCGTGTTCCACTCCCCCTTTCCCCGCCAATCCGGCATTCGAAGTATTGGTGGACCTGGCGAACATATCTGCCTCACTTTAGTGTTAACCCTATACACTACAGTACAGTATTGCACCCCTAATCTGACCCGGTCAGTATTGCTGGACGAAAATAAACAAATACCTAGTAAGTATCTGGTCTTGCCGGTCACTCGGGCCGTTGAACAATTGCTATCTCTGGGGTCCTGGTCTTTGGTGACATCCGAACTGTAGCGGTCAAGCTACGCATGGAAAGTGATTTGCCTATGATCTTTGACATGGTACGATGGCTGTTTCGGGTCGGGAAGAGCCTTGTAACGGAGCAACGCTTTGCGAATCCAGCCCAGTCCATACGAACACCTAACGTACAGTAGTTAGACACAATGCTCGAAGAGTAAAAGAGAGTAATAAGCAGCAAATCCCCTTGACGGTGAAAATCTGACATTTTAGTGAGCCCCGCAATATACATACATGGAGGGCTTGGTGACGTGGCTTGTTAACTAAACATTCCGCCTACATTGCTAGTAAACGCTATGGTCTTTGCAACATCAAAAAGTATCCTACAGGAAAATGGTTACCACCGATTGGCTCAACCTTCTGCGGGCAGGGAAGATGCAGGGGCAAGGGGGTTTCAGAGGACAGGACAGGGCAAGTAGGGCAACCGACCGAACCGAACCGAACCGACAACAACCCTTATATGCTGAGGTGACAGTCTCGATTTCACACCAGCTCATTAACGAATGGCCAGCCACCGGCTGAAAGTGGGGGAGAGTGGAATTGAGGGGGAGGGGTTGTGATGAAGTAGTGTAATGTGAGTTCTTGAGGCAGACAATACACGGCTCACCCAATGAGCGCCCTACTTCAGACTCGGTTGAAAAAGAGAAAAAAGAAAGGAAAGAGATGGGGAAATGTATAGTGAGACAGAAAGACGTTACGCTAGTAACGGCGCCTAGAGTAGAGTACAATTTTAGTGCTGGAGGGGTGGATCGTTAGGGGATTTTGACGAAGAGCTAAACTCGACAGACAGACTGCAGTACCCGAAGGATAGCACCAAGAAAAGGAGAATACAAAGAAAAAGAAAACAAAGCTGTCGATACTCGATAGGCCCAAAACGGGTTATGTGCACAAGGAAGTATCGACGCTCATCTTTGTGACCGGTAGGCTTCTACCATCCCAACTATAATCAACCTTTACTATACAGTAACAATGACCGATCGAAAAGGAGCCCATCCGTATTCCGAATCTACACCGCACCTCTGAGCTATCGGCCGTTTGCTGTGTAATGACAAAACGAACGCAGCAGGTGAGGGTTGCTTCTTATCTTGTCTTTCCTCCATTGCCCTGGCAGGGTTCCGTGGGATGTTGGTGACCCGAATCTTGAAGGACGCCTATCATCTGTAGGAGACTAGGTACCTTACATCAGCCTCTCTACTAGTCAGACTTCGTTGCTCAATGTGGCAGCGCTGCTTCAAAATACAGGCCATATTCGCACCGAACATACATCATAGCATTGCTACAAGATCAAGAGGGCCGTCATGATGGCCTTTTGCGGACGGTGAAACGGATACGGTACCATGGCACACTCCGGGGTGATCACAGATAGGGGTAAGAATGTACATACGATACGCGGTGAACTCCTACTTGTTCCGAGGTATTTCAGCATAAATGCCGATGCCGAGCTTAGATCACGATTATCTTTTAACGAGATCGTTATTGGCGCTGGAGGAGTTTGATCTTAGTCCAGCCTGTTCCTTGCCCAAAAAGGTATCCTGCGGCCGCTATAACCGACTTCCTGACCCCGTGTGGGACGAGAAGCCGGCGGCGCTTTGATGAGGAAGAGGAAGGACGTCTTAAATTAGCGTGCAGGGTGATGCCAGCCTGGCATAGTTGGAATCAGAACCCCTGGTATCGTCTTAGCTTCGCTTTCAGTCTGTGTCGAGAGGGGTCATTGTGTACTGCAAAAAAAAGTTTTGTCAAACTCCACAGACATGGTCGGAAAGTGGGTGTGTCGAGGGACGTCGAGGGACGTCGAGGGGATGATCACCTTCCCACCTGCATTTCATCTAGTCTGGTCAATATTTCCGACAGACAACGGCGGCGTCCCGTGGGCAAGCGGGGAACCAGCATCGTGGTGGGAGTGAAGCTATTCACCCATCTCGATGTTTGCTCTTGAATTACGGCGTAGGGCATCAGATGTGTCTCTTTGCATGCTTCCAATGACACCTTATGCATGTTGTCGGTACAGAAGCAGGTGATCAACGTCGGGGATAGGTCCTAGCCGCAACCTGCCTCATCATTCGGGATATTGATGGCGTCTAGGTGTCAAGACGTTAAGTGACGTCCGAGACTAAGGATGGTTGGATATTTGCTTTGTAAACGAAGATATGTTTCTCCCATCAACCCTGTGCTGTGTCCCTAGGTTTTCCAGATGCTCTTCAATGCTTCCATTTCTGAGAGGCCTGGAAGGCTGCGTCCATCTACATGTGTGTGAAAAAGGAGATGGTCTTTCGGGGCAATGCAAGCCCGATTATTGGCCAAGACAATCGCTTGGGCTTGTTCTGGATAAAGTCTCAACAGACCCCGCTTGAGCAGACCCCTGGATAGAAGACATCCTGGGTGTGAACGTGAATGTAGTACTACAACGCCACCCGATCTTTGATGGCCGAGGCAAAGAGGAAAGGAACTCGCTTTCTCAAGCATGTACTCCTCAGGAAAGAGCTAAGGTTGTGTTCAGATAACCTAGCACACGTATAACGCACTTTTCCCAAAGATTTCAATGGTTACCATGGTCGGCTAACGGTGGTAGTATCCCAAGGGGTAGAGATGGCGCATCTGAATAGTGCATCCACTGGCCGAGACTAGAGCGACCCATCATACACAAGATAAGTCAACGTTCGTGGATGTGGTCGGCAGACTTCTGGGGAAAAGCTTTATTCGTCAGCGCTTGTGCAGAAAAGTGCGCAACAGTAGGGGCCTACAGTAATACCTCAATGGAGGTTTGTTTTGCAATCATCACTTCGTCAGGGAAAGAAAAACGGAAAGGTGCGGAATAACCCTGATTCAAAGGTGTCGTTTATGTTGCCCGAATGGTGTCATCTGATATGACGCTGGTGTAGCAGGCTTGTCGACAGCTTTGACTCGTCAGTTCAGGTTCAGGTAAGAAGTTGTCATGACTCTGTGCGAAGGACGGGGTTGCCAGATATGACGGATGAAAGTCAATTAGCCTCATCACCCATACCGCCACGAGAATGTGATAAAACGGGAAGAATACCTTCACCGTTGCGACCTTTGGACAACCTACAGATAAAGCTAGAACTGGAAGCCACAAAACTAGCTTCTGCGCCGTTTGGTTAGGAAGAGGTTTAACATCACAGGTGTTGGTAGGTGATCATGTGAGGCGTCAACGGAAAATAGTGACACACACTCTATCTGCTTGGGCAGAAGCAAAACTTGATACAACGGTGGTATTGGTACTGGGATCCGCCGAGATTCTGATAAGGGGATGATTTTGGAGAAAGGTGAATGAAGAAGTGGCAACTCGGCCGACTCAGCTGTTTATGGATCCGTCCACTCCCAATTATGATAACAATGGACAATTCACCGGTTTCGGACAAAGCCCCAGCAATGATTTCATTTGTATACGAGCATGGCAGCGTTGCATGCCCGCGCAGATGTTCTTTTAACTCATGATCGACGTGTTACTCCGGACATGCGTGATAAAGAGTAACATAATCTCGCAGGGCAAGGAGCATGAAGCTTCGTTTGCTGTGTCGGGTAGATCCCACTGGTGATGATCGACGGATCGCTAACCGGTGTGTTGGTGAAGCTGAGTATGTACGATGTGCTCAACAATATATGCCACGGAACTGACCTTGGCAGACGGTAGACTCCCTCTACCTTTTCAAGCCGGTACGTATGAAATCAACCTATACGATTCTCGCCCTCTCAAGCCGGTCTAGTACGTATACTGCTCATCTGGATAATTGCATCTTTCTGGTTCCCGAAGGGCGATGAGTCGGGCGGAGTGTGGGAATCTCTGTCGAATAGCTAGCTCCCTGTGGTTATTTTTAGCGACGCCCAAAAAAAGTGATGTCGATGTCGCTTGATGTGTTCGAGGCTGGCTGGCGCTCAGATGTATTGCACAACCACAAAATATTGCTATGTATTTACTGGCAGACCAACATTAGAGGGAGCTATATAGTTCCCAGGGACGTAATAGCCTTCGCTGTGCAATATGGTGCCCCGAGAGTCAGATGTCAGTCGGTGGTGATGCAATTAGTTTGGTGCTGCCATGGTGAGATCCATAATGTTGTCTTGTACAAGATTCCGAAAGAGGAAGCTGGTTGAGGAAAACGACTTGCCTGACGGGATGCGCGAGAAACGTGCAATGGGCGTGGCATATTTCCCGAGGCAACTTTGGTTCAAAACGTCCAAAACGCTCGCCGATCACGCCGGTCTCTCCAACGTCTGTGGTTCTCGAAGCCACCCTCTCCTCTCGTTGGCCTAAGCGAGCATGCGCTAACGCCAGCGCCACGCGATCACCGCAGGCCGGATCGCATCCGTCCACTGGGACGCCAGTATTAGGAGCAGGGGTTGCGGGGCGTGTCGATCAATGAAAGGACACAATGGCCAAGTATCGTCATCATGCTGAACAGGAGTGACGTTGGGCTGGGCAAAACTTGGGATATGTACCTGTAGCGTACAGTAGGGTTGATCAATGACTGTGTGTTTGGATGTCATTGTGCGCACCCCAAGGGAGGTACTAGCTGGTCGAGCTGGTGACAGAGGTCAGCGACAGGATACTTTGTCTGTTTAAGGAATGAAGGACAGTTACTCACCTTTGCCCGAACAGCTAGCGATACACTACATATGCAAGGTAGGTAGAGTACCTGAAATCTTGCAGGGCACCGTCTCGACTAATAATGCCTATGCTATAGGAGTGTCAATAAAAAGAGTGACCGAAGTATCACCGCTCCTGGCCACCAAGAGGCTGTACCGCCAAATCTTGGACTACAATGATCCGTTTGACCGGCTGTGGCGAGAAGAAGCACACACGCACCTTCTTGAACCAAAAAATGAAGATGAAAGATACAGAGAATTCCTTCAATCCCGAGATACCGCGGGCAGCCGGTAAATGTTTCATGTCGTGTCTGCTCATCGCCTGCCGAGCACTGTCTGCGAAACGCGACATGGGATGGAGGAAGGAAAAACGAGGCAAAATCTCCTACTTCCAGATTCCAATTCCCCAGCCTTGCCTCACGGCTGTCAAGCGGACTTGTAGCGATGTCGGGTGGTGCTTACCTCCCTTCTTATATGCAATCTCTCTTGGGTCCGACGAGAGTCACCCACTCCCTTCGTATTGTTTCCGGTCAGAGTTGGTGGTGTCCTATCGTTCACATGAAGCGTTGCAAATCATGTCGCCTGGTAGAAGACTCGAAATGTTTATATCGCCAATGTCTCACCGAGATCATGAAAGGTCCGGTTATGGGATCGGTCGAGCTCTTAGCCGCCTTCGGCGGGCCGTCTGTTAGGACCCTGGGTGTGCCTGGTCGTGCTTGGCGTCCGGTTCCTCGGCCCATGATGCAAACCACGGCCGGGCCGGCGTATGGGAGCAGCTCCACTGCTGAGGCCGGCATGTCAGTGCCTGGGTCCTGAAAATCCTCCGGCCGCCTGCAGAACGCATGGACGAGGAGCTATCGTAACGAATCGGTGCGAAGGGTCTCTTAGCTGACTCGGCTGGTCACGGCCCTAGGTGATTTAGCTCCCTCTTGGGCTCCGTAGGCGGATGCAGGAATGATTCCATTGTGCATCTCCCAAGAGTCCAGTGATCTGGACGGGCCAGGTACAAGGCAAAGATGCATACGGCCTTGCGGGCACCGGCGCGCGGCATCGATGATCGGTGAGGAAGCCAAAGACCTAAGTAGTGTGACGGAACTCCCAAAGTGTAGGCGGGAGATATTTGGCGATCTCGCACTGTCGCGTCGTCGTCGCTGCGTGCGGTAGCTGGCTCCGCGAGCGGTTTCCAGGCGGTGCTTTGCCCCATTGGAGAAAAAGTCAGGCCACAATTACATACAATTGTCAGCAAGGTGGGATGCAGGCGATGGAACTTGGAAGGTGAGGTGGCCCAAGCGCTGACAAGCCTTCCGTCACCAAAAAGGGAAGGAGCGAGGAAAATGGGAGTGGATGGTTGGCTTCCATTTGACAGAACATTTGGTAAACTGGGGACCGAGCTTTGATTGGCACTCCCGCTCGCAGTCACAGCAGGCTTCAACGCGGGCGGGCACTTCCATCATATTTTCCTTCAGCTTCTTCTTCTATCTCCTGTTGGCCTTGTCGTTGTCGTCACCTCGCTCGCTTCCCGTCATTCGCGCTGTCTATGATCGCCATGTCTGATCCTCTTACATCGACCACCTCCAGGTCGCTTCAGACTGGGCATCCCGAGCTTGTGGTCCAGTGTATCGTGTGGCGCTGCACGCTTACGACACCGCGTAGTGTTTGGACATTGCAAGACAGATGGAGATTCAGATCAAGATGCCCGAGACGATGGGTTGGATGCTAAGCCGTCTGGCCATCCGGATGACCTCATGCCGGCCTACCTTCGTAAGGCTGCAGCTGCCAGGTCCTTCCTCTACTTGTCCAGTGTAACAAGCGACCCGCGACAACCTAAAGTGGCCTCCGAGTCCGCCATGGCTACACAAAAGTTGTCACCGGGCCGCCCAACCATCCCGTCAGACCCCTCTGTTGGCATGCCCGGGCTGTAGAGGCTGTTAGAATGTAAAGGCAAGGTACTTAGTCTACATCCACGTCTGTCATTCCCGCGGGAGTCGCATGGCAGTGGCACAGGCGCGGGGAACCGGCCTAAATCGAGGTCGGTGACAGACTGCCCTTCTTCGGAACGCCAGCCCGCCATCAATCGTCTTGCAACAAAACCGCCCTACACCGGACCGTGGTCTGCCACGGATGTGCCACAGCGATTGATGACCCGCCGCCGTTGTCTTGACGCAAATGCCTGACGGAAGCAGAGGGAGAGCAGTCATATCTGCACCCAGGCCTCTCCCACTGCCGCTGGAAACACCCCCTGCTCAATATCAAACACAGGACCAGACAAGCTGTCCGCTTTCCGTCGCATTCTCCAGTTATCACGACTCGCTTCTACCGTCGATCACGGACCCCTAAACCCCAACCCCCCATGTACCCATTTACCACGTAAGTACCAATCTCGTGCCCCAGACAAAGCCCCCTGTCTGACCGACTCCCAAGTATAGCGTCCACCGATGTACCCGAACGATGTACACAGTATCATATTGTTTCCCGAAGCAACCCTGCCCTCCGGATTACACAACCGACGATCGCTGGAGATTAGCTTCGTTTCTGGAAACCCCCCGAGACTATTTCTCCAGAAACCGTCTGAGGATGATATCAATATAGCTTCGCTTCTCTCCACAGGATATGACCTTGACAGATGTGACGGCTCGACCCAGAACACAGGGCTGTATACATACTCTGGAGAATACGAGAACCACTGTCACGAAGCTACCGGCAACCGGTCAGAACGTTCTCAAACTATCGGTGGTAAAATACCGCATCGGTATGTATATAGTTCTTGTGCTTTGTAAATGGGTTATTGCGTACTGATGTTGGGGCATTTCGTGTAGCACTCCATGCTGTGATTCTGATTCCTGGGCTACGCAACTTCGCAAGCGACCGTAACCGTGCCATTGGCCACGGCAGTCACGGTAATGACCGAAACGGGACCCTTCAGTGGGATCATTGTGAGCAACCCTTGCTCCGCAGAGATCTGAGGATGTCACCGATTCCTTCGCTGTTCCGGTTTTTGGATCGTCGCCGTACTGGGTAGATGTACGTAACCTTTCTACCACCCGCGTAACGTATGCACCACACTCCAGTTAAACAGAGGATCGGCGCTTCTATTCCAAGATTCGCATGGCCCTCACGTGCAGCAATTTCTTCTCGATTATTGAGGATGCTCGCCAGGACTACATGGCGTCGCCTGCGCCTCAAGAGATAGGTCACTTTTCTGTCCTGTCAATTGTTGATCGAGTACGGCCTGCAGAGCGGCATCAGTGTGAACGACGTACGCTAGTGTACAGGTCTACGTACACCAACTGTCAGGAAGTGAAGCAGGGCATCTGTTTCCACGTCGTGGATGAGGAAGATCAGGTAGTCTGTGCGATAGCCCATACCCGAGGTGCTGCTATAGGGTACAAAGTTCCATTCCAGACCCCCGATTTAACCAGATATTCTGATCTGAACAGGGACACGAGCCATCTTAACCTTAAAAAAGTGGTATTTGTTTTGAAAGGCCGTTTGACAGGGTGGGAAGATGGGTACGGCATAAAAATATGTCGACAATCCGGTCACAGCAGAAGCCAAGCACGTTCCCGGAGACTGCACTCTTGAAAGCTGTGGCGGCTCGCCCGAATCCGCATATCCATGCAGATGATCGGACTTATAAAATGTCGGTGCTGCTCCTCGTCTCAAGTCTTGCCCAAAGCTTCAGGGGTCCTCTGGTTCCCAGACGCCCAGAGCGCGTTCGTGACAGCCAGGGGCTGATGGTGGACACAGACCAGTTCTTAAGAACGGGCATGTATCCTTTTTCAGTCAAGCGCCTCACGGCGTATGCAAGCCCATCAAAACGGCAAGCTACACTGGCTTGGCTGGTACAAGGGATCCCCACTGTGGAAGGACGATCCTTTCTGTTCCAACACATCACGGGTGTGGTGACCAGACAGACCTCCGTCGAATTTGCGAGCCTGTTTTGCTACCGCAGGCGTATCTCTAAGAACCCAGGACTCCTCCGCCTTGCGTACTTGAAAACCCCTCTAGTTTGGGAGAGGTGGGTGTATCATGATGATCCTTTCCTGCCGACTTCTTAATTACACAAGAAACGTGGGGATCCCGGCTGTGAAATCAGGTTTGAGAAGGAACTGACTCGGCCAACTCGGGGGTCCTTCACTGACATTGGGTCTCGACCGTTTTGTGTCTCTGGAGATCGATCAACCTTGGCGAGCCTATGCGGCCTCTCAAGCCCTTTTGTCCTTCGAGAAGATCGCAGCTCTGTATGCGGACGGCAAGTTATCCGTGTTTACAGACGACGGGTTAGGGAGCACATGGTATCAACAAGGGCAACCCCGATGCAGCCGATGTCAGAGGTCGCATATAGCAGGAGCTAATATATGCCAGTACCTTTGCTGGACACTGCAGGCTCCCTTACTTACCAGGTACTCTGTATTTTACGGTACACTTCACCCACTCCTTCTATCCATCTGATCAGCACTCACCTGTAGCCCTGAGAGGCCTGGTCCCTGGCCTTGCTGCTGCACAGCACCACCCAAGGTTCTGTCGCTGGAAGGCCCCAAGCCCACCGCCCGGTAGACCCACACCATAATTTGTGACAACAAGTGAATTGACCCACTGATGGCCTTGGTCCTCCGGGGATCAACCTGTAGGGGGCACCGTATCATCCACTCTTGTCTCCATGCCCTCGGGAGATCTAAATGGTACCATGTACTGAACAACCTTGTCCACCCCATCCACCGTCAACAAGCTTCTTTTGGATTTCGGCATACATAAGCTAGCCCCCCTCCTCTCACCTCCCTGCCCGCTTCAAAGCTTGGGTCTGAAAGACAAAGAAACGACATCATCACTGTTGCTGCTTTGAACCACCAAAATCAACTACACGTATCCGACTTCACCAAGCGATACTTTTTATCACGCACCATTTCGTCTCGATCAAAGGCAGTAGTAATATCGTCAACATAGACCGGTCCACTACACTTCAACCTCACACACCGACATCAAAATGGCACCCACGACGTTAACGCCTCAATATCCTGCCCAGCCTTACGGCTTCGCTCCGCCACCCTCCCCTCCTTTGGACGACTCCAACAAGTGCTCTCTGCCCTCGATTTCGAACCTGCTTGTCATGGCCGATCAGGGATCTCCTACCTCAGAGACATCTCCTCAGTCTCAGCAATGTATGACCGGTCAACCTATCTTGATATCAGGGAACTGCACAAGACTAACCGTTCTTCAGTGCACTTCTCAAAGCCTGACAACCGTCCCAACTCTTCCCAGTTTGGCAACCCAGCATCGATCAGGGCGAACCTCCCCCCTAGTCCTCCCATGTCTTCGGAAGCTTCTTTTGAAGGATACCGCTCTCCTTCAAGCAAGCCAGCAAGCCAGTCTCAGGGCAGCTCCAACTACTACTATGAGACCACGCCGCCTTTGAGCCAGCATGAAGCCGACTCCCGGCAGATGGCCACTGCTGCACCCAGAGCCCCTGTTCAGTCATCAACCTTCCAAACACAGTACCCGTCGTCAGCCGGCTACTCGAGTCAGTCAGGCATGAACCCTTATTACCCTCCCATGCAGCCGACACCCCCTCCGCAGCAGCAGATGTCGGGCTTATATTATCAGCGACCACTTCCTCAGGTGAGAACCATCAGCCAGATCCAACAGATGAAAGTTACCTAACATTTGCTTTAGACTTTCACCCCTGCTGTGCCAGTTCCAGTCACTCTCGCACCAGTCACGGGAGCCAACCCTTGGCAACATCACCACTATATTGCTCCTTCTTCCACTGCATCTTTTCCGCAGTCTCAAGACCGGTACATCTGCCAGACTTGCAACAAGGCTTTCTCTCGACCTAGCTCATTGCGAATCCACAGCCACTCTCACACTGGTGAGAAGCCTTTCAAGTGCCCCCATGCAGGCTGCGGAAAGGCCTTCAGCGTTCGCAGTAACATGAAGCGTCATGAGCGTGGCTGCCACAGTTTTGAGAGCAGCAACGGCAGAATCAGTGGCAACAGCAACAACGGCGCATCTGCCTAGGCGGCCAATCTTCGTTTCTTTTCTATTCACACCTCATACGTTATACAACCAACCTAGACGGTCCGGATTGGCATGAAAGGTTTTGAGAAGTGTTTATCACCATTTGCATGGGAAATCGGGTTTCATATGCAGGGATCATTCCTACAAAGCCTGGCATGTGTTTACGGGGAAAAGGGCGACAAATCACCGCATACAAATAGCGCATCACTGCTTGGGGCCGGCAGAGATTTCATATCGTTCAACAACAGGTACACACAAAGACCTGTATGCGTTTTACAGTCTCAAAAGATCGGGGTCTCTTTTCGGAACGGCAGGTCACGGTCTAGGGACTACAGGGTCTAAAGGGGTTTCAGGGATGACCTTTAGGGTTGGCTACTCACGAAAAAGCTCCCACGGCGCGAAACGGGTTTGGCTTGCTTCAGCATTTACACGGGCGTTCACGCGGAGATGACATGCGAGAACCAAAGAAATGGCTCGCACTTGGCATGAATTGGCGGCTGTTTTTTGTTTTCTCTTTTATTTTTTATTTTTTTCAATTCTTTCATATCCCCACACGTTCACATAATGTCTATGGAGCGGGATGCCTTTTTATGGGCGATTGTAAATTTAGCATTACGAGCTGCCCTTCAACAGAAGAAGTTGAGGAGCAAAGCCGGGGATCAACGTTGCATGAGGATGGATAGGGCGGACTTCAAAATTATCAATGCAAAATGTTCGACACTTAAACTTGATACGAGCGAGAAATCGTCAAAAATTGAAGCACTGGGTTTTGATCTGTCCATTCTCTGACATGACTTTGACAGATGTGCTTGGTGGAATGACTTGAATAATGTGGTTTGGTGGGAACTACAGACTTCCTTCTTCAGCCCGAACGAAGAGCCACACGACTGGTGGTTTATAGTCAAGTGAGTTTTGTGCAACAATGCATCCTTTGTCGTATTGTAGCTGTTGGACCAGAAATATGAACCGACGTCAGTTTTTGTACGTTGTTCGCTACACAGTCCTACCACAATGTGCGCCGTTTCACATGGCATCAATCACTGCAATCTTTCAGTTGTACGCCCAGCAATTTTTGTTGCAACTCTAACAGTTTCTCTAAAGCGTGTAACAACCTACCGTCGCTTTGATTGAACGACCTAAATTGACAAGGCCGGCCGGCCGCTTGAAGCATATGGCAATTCTTCGTCCCTCTGTAAGACAACATCAAACAAAATGCGGGCATTTGCCCTAACCCCTGACGGCAAGGGGAAAAACGGTTTCATGGGCTAAACCGCAAAGCAGCAAAAGAGGGGGAGTGAACATCACGATGGCTACTGCTGACTGATCAAGAGATCACAAAAATGTCGAGAAAGGAACGAAGATCATCCCTCTCTTACCCCGTCCCCCGATCTCATTTCCGTCGCATGATCTACACAGAGGGTACCAAGTGCGTGGATATCGACATGGACCAGGTCCGGAGGGAGGCACTGAAAAGGGAAATTATATGACGAGGACGCATGAAGACGCCGGAAGTTAAAGTCTTGTTAGCGACCAACCAGCCAACGCCCAGCAAAGACAGCCACCCCTCTTTGCTCTCAGAGGAGGGGGGGAGGCACGCAACCTACCAAGGACGGACTCGACGTCGACGAGATTCATTTTCAGGAATAGAACAGAACAGCGTCTATTGTTAAGTACCGCAAACCCCTAGCCGGCCAGCCAAGAAGAGAGGCGTTCCTGGGTTGCGGGCACGGCGCCTGCTATCTACGTCATAAATCACCTATGAGAACTACGTACATATGTAGTACGTCTTCTTACTCGCGAGTACACACGCAAATCCAGCTGCTTGTCTCTTTTGTCTCTCCTTCTCGTTATAAAGACAGCGGCAAATCAACATAGCAAATAAAGGGAGCAGCCCGAGGGGGCGGCCGGTTCGGGCAACACCAAAAAAATCGCGGGAAACGAATAAATGGCAGCTTTGGACATGACATACATGATAAAGCTTGGCTGTGGATTTTTGCAAGCCCTTTCAATTTTGGGAATGGAGGTCGTGGAATGTTTCGCTCCTTGTACCGTTGTTTGGGTTGTACTTTGGATCTCCATGAGATAGATGCTCACATCGGTAATCACTTAGCTTCGATTTTAGGTATATATGACTACGGTACCCAGACACGGCAACAGGTGATCAATGACAGCTCAAGCACGAGCATCAGCAACCCGCCAGCCCGTCAGAAGGAAGCGAAGATCGGTAATCTAGGTACGCAGTAACGAACGGTAGGTGTGTACGGCAATAGCGTGGGACACTATCAGCCCAGTAGTTCACATTTCGGTCATTAGTGCAGTGGTGCCAGTAGACTCGTAGTTGGCCGATATTTCGGGCACTGGAGTATTTACCCCCGGACGGCCCCCGTATCTAATGACGCTACTGATTATACTATTGCGCTAGTCGGTCGAGGATTTGCGCATCATGCAATTAGTGGACTACGCGAACCCCGTGACGGGACGGTAATTGTGGTTGTGGTTGTGGACGACAGAATGGGAAGTTTGACGAAGGCGGTGAGGAATGTGGGAGAAAGATGAACCGGTGCATCCTCTCACTGAGGGGGATGGAGCATCTGAGCACCTGAGCACTTTCTTGGCCTTAGCACCACTGCACCGACCACCGCCTTACAAGTGAAAAGTGTGGACAGTACTTAACGAGGGGGAAAATGATGAAATGTCAAGCGAGTGGGAGAAGAGAAACAGAAACATCATCCACCTCGGGTGAGTTAAGTTACCCATCACATCTTCCATTCCCCCCCTCTCCCTTTCAAATTATTCATCCGCGTCAGCGTCATGCCCAACCCCTGCGGAAGATCCTAGGTTCGAACGGGGAGGAGGGGCCGCAGGGGCACTCTGTCAAGGTAAAATACACTGCAGGTACCTGCCCCATTTATTTCATAGATGGTACCTGTGTTATAATTTTCAGGTTGCAGTTCCTTTCATGGAACGCTGCAGCTGGTCGAAAAGAGCCTCACCATACGCAGTACATTCACGAGTATCCCTTGGCGGTGATGTGCAAGATGAATTACGGGATATGTACATTACCGGAGATTTCGCCGTTCTGGGTAAGGTTCGTCAGCAGCCATAATGGTATCGCTAGCTTGGGGTGATGTTGTCTTACCTAGGGACATAGGTACACTTTTCTCGGCAGGCAATTTCGACAATGATGATGAAGAGTGGTGGTGGTCTTTCGACGACAGGACGGCAAGGCAAGCAAAAGTGGCCTTCTCTTGGAAGAGTCTGCACCTCTTTTGTCCATTTGCTTTTTCTGGGCCACGGCGCCAATCACGTCCTGCCGTGGCTCGGTGCAAAGCTGCCGTGGGATGTGGCGGGGTGGGGAATAGAAGGCATGGAAAGACCGTTAGGACGAGCGAAGGCAACTTCGAGTCCGACGTCGTTTTCCACCAATGGGGCTCCCTGGCCCGTTGCAGCTCATGCGTCGCTGGCTGGAGGGGACCTAGGGGCAGGGGGGGTGGGGGGTGGTCATCGTCGTCGTAGACTCGTCAACTTGTTGGTCGTCCTTCCCCGTCATGCCTCCATTTCACGACCCTTGTCTCATTTTTATTTCTAGCGCCCTTCTCTATCATCCGTACAATTTCAGCCCGTGATGGGTTTGCGTACCATTCGAGGTTAGCGCCCAGAAAGCATACAGTACCAACCCATTTCACCAGTTTTCATGCTGATGGCTCCCTCCATTTCCTACTATCAACCCACATTGCAGTCTTCGTTTTCTCACCCCTCCCATCCCTCGTCTACCTGCGACCCCCCTCCCTCGACGACCAGACTACACTTCCGACCCCTCCTCTCGTGCATGGGCCAGCATCGGCCAACTGAGCAATGAGATTCTGCCCCCTTGTCGCATTTCGGTTGATCACCGTCGATCAGCCTGTTCGCCAAGCGAGACCGGGGTTCCATATCCTTGTCTGTTCTCAAAAATGTTCCCCAATCCATGTGGATGGGATCAACATTTGCTTCTCTGCCTGCCCGCCCGCTGCCGAGATGGCGGTTGCTGCTACGGAGGGGCTGTCAAGAAAGCTGCCAGGTGCTGATGTCATGGGCGTACGACACAGTACGTTACTACTATGTATCGTGTTCTGTATCACAAGTTTGCCGTTACCAAGGCGGGTGACCTGAGCGCTCAGCAGTCAGCGCTAGTGTATAACTAAGAAATTCCTCTAGCTCCCTGTTGGGGGGCTTCTGTGGCTTCTCATGGCGAAGCATCATTGGCATCGATTTGCATTGGCAACATGAGATTATGCCAATGTTCTTTTCCATGATTATTCCTGCTATCGACCCTGCTAATATTGCATGATCGACGAATAGTCTTCGACAGCAATACGCATGGTTTCGTTGGTTACGCCTCAGCCTGGAAGATGCCTGCTGGTGGTCCCGGGACGGAAGCGGCGGAATTTGTGTGGTTTTGACATTCACAGAACCGACCGGTGGTGAGTCGAGCACTTCCACTTGCATGTCTGCCAAACTCGCGATATCAGGGTCAACCTTATCACCTCATTAGCCTTTATTGCATCACGGCATGTTTCCTTTCAAAACAGGCAGCGCCGGTCACGGGCAAATACGAATGAGGCTCGTCTCGTCGTGCCTTCTGTGGCTGTGAAGCGTACTCGGGTTTCTATCACTTCACCTCGTCCACAATGATCTTCGTTCACACCCTGTATTACGCAGTTGGCTTTGAGATTGAGAAATTCACCCACAGCCTGACTTGAGACATTGACAGCGGAATAGCAGTTCAACAGTGGTTTCTCTCCAGGCCCGCCTAAATAATGTATCACTGAAACACGGCGGTTAAGTCACGCGAGGCTCATGACGCCTCTTCATTAGTCTCGACGCCTACTGTTTATGCTGAGTAACAACCCTCCCGCCATGTCTGTGCAACCGAAGCCATGAGCCGAGGTCTCGAAGATATGAAGTCAGGTTCCTCCCAAAGCTCAAACATTCTGCGGTGACTCGATGCCTGTTGTTTCACCTGGTGGCCACTGACACGACCAACAAAACCGCAACCATCCATCATGTTGTGGGATCTCTTGTTACGTCCCAATAAGAAAGACAATTAAGTAAATGAATCAAAGATTATCAAGTACACTATGAAAAAGAAGTTTATAAAAATTGCCGTCGCAGTATTCCATCTGTCCAGGTTTGACAAGATAAAAACGAACATGAACCCTGCGTATGCTTGACAAGGTTATCGATACGAAGACGCCTCCAGTTATCTATCCATCAACAATTCCAGCAACTCGTTCCAAGATGGACAAAGGTCGAAATGAACCCAAAACCCCACACGATCTGTCTGATCCATGCAGATTATCGAGCCATTGTGCCATTATCGGCCGCGCAACACATACCGCTTTCCGCTTGCAAGTTCCAGGGATCTATGGCTTCCCAGCATATTTACTTTCCACTCCGTGCGCCGTGCGGATCCAGAGCTCCCCGTCGCAAGCGGGTGCTCCAGCTTCCATCAAGCCGAAAGACCGAGAGCAGCAACAATACGGCCGAGCCAGGGCTCCATATTGTGTCAAGACCAGCAACCCCTGAATCGCGACTTTTTTTTATTGTGTTGAGGTACACATGTGACAACGGGAAATCGTGTTCACTTCTCGCTGCGTAGTCATCGAAGCCGACAATGGAACTTTTCGAGGTGTTTTCGATGCCGTGAAAACCCCGTGCTGATTCGGGTTCACGGAGATTTCCGCTCAATAAGCTTTAAACTTACGTGATGATAGCCCGGGTTTCCCCTAGCAGCGTTGCAAACGTGTCGTGTTGAGGGCTTGAGCCAAGTCTCTCTCCCCCTGTGCCTTGATCGATGATATTCGATAAATTGCCCAGTTAGATACATCCGCAGCGCGCATCAAAGGGAATACTGTTAACCCTGTGAATGATGATCAAGTCCGTTACCGGGGTTCTTGATTGTAATTTTCAGGTACTCGGTACTCTATGCTAGGCCAATACGGGGTTCTTGTGCCAATCAGGAGGCCGCCGACAACGTTACGAGCTCCATTAGTTCTGTCACAATTTCATTTTTTCCATTGCGCAGAGAATTCTAGCATTGACTGACGGTGTCAAAGACTCATGTACTTGATAGAGATCGATCATATAGTGTTTAAACGATCTTTGAGTTATATCTGAGTCGGGTGAGAGGTGAGCGTCCCAGCCATCTCTCCGAGAATCAAGGCGCTGCCACTTGCAAACCACAGCGCTAACATTTTACGCAGTGCACTATATGCCGGCATAGGTAATGTCTCGAGTCCATCTTCGCATCCAGCTGTCAGCTTCCGCTTTTTGAATTCAACCTAGATTTCTGAACACGGGAACTAGGCTCAACAGAGTTTAGCACATCAGCTGTCGCCCGATCGGCTGCGTGTCACTTGCGTGACAGACTTGGGGCCAGACTTGCCAGTCACTCTGAGTGGTATGCTCAGCTTACCGGCCCCGCTGGCCGCCCTGCATACGCGAAGGTTCTTCATGGATTTTACTAGACCGTAAAGGGGATAAGATAAATCCGGTTTGATTGAGAATATGCGGCATTTTGCTCTTTTCAGTCGGCTGAAACGATGGCTTTCTGCATGGCGTTGGCGATCATCAACGTCAAGTCCCGCCTTGGATCAGCAGCCAACTTTCTTCATTGTTATGGCACATCACAGATAGGCTGATGGGGTTCCCCAGTTACCTGACACTGCTTGGTTTTTTCGACCCTATCTCGTTCTTTGCTTTTCTTCCATGCCCTTGCTTGCTTGCCCGTCATTGAGAGGTAGGCAATTATAGTAGTGTTTGTATATTGTTGTTTCCTTTTCACTTGCATAACCAGTCCTTTTAGAAGCTCACGGAGACGGGTATCAAACGACGACGGCAACGACGACGACAACAGTAAAAAGATACTGACGGACGAAGAAGTGATACATAATGCGACTCGGCTATACAAATCACGTCGACAGAGTGAGACATATTTCTAGAAGCTAAGTCCAGAAGCGGACGATAGCTTCTTCCCAGCCATCGCTTCGCTTCCCATGGCATTTCGGGACTTCGCGAGTCAGGGGCTAGCATACAAATAGTGGGGCCATCGTGAGATGGACAGGCAACCAGGGCCCAGGCACAGGGTACTGCTACCCGTTTAGCCTTGTTTCCAACATTTGGTAGTTTGTCACCATTGTTTCCCTTTTTCCTCTTCTCCCTTCTATCGATCGCACAAGGCAACTTGAATGGTAGTTTCTGCTACTCTGTGTGTACTGCGCAGTAGGTGCCACAGAGCGGTGCTACATTGTACTGTACTGTACTGTACTGTACTGTACTGTACTGTACGGAAAGCTTCCTTGCGGGGCCTTTAAACGCTTTATATCCCTGCAACTGCCCACAGCGGGGCCATGGTATCTCGCTAGTACTGTGGTATGTAAAGTACATGTACCGCAGTACGCACCCGGCAGGCACGAGGAGAAGCACAATCAAATGTTGTTCCGGGAGTCGTTCCCGAGAAGCCTCCTTGTTTCACCACCTTGTTAGGTAACAACTTGGGGGAACCTGGGAAGATGCTAGGCATCAGCTTTTTGTCAACCACAACACAGCCACCATCTCCTTCAACCTTCGACGAAAGAAAACGGTGCGACTCTCCAGGTTCAGCCTCCCGATCAAATGTAGTTCATCATCTCGTCTAACCCACTAGGCAACATAAAAGCAAAGAACTACACTACAATGACCACCAACAAATCCGCCATCAACTCAGCCACCTGAGTTCTCTCCCGCAGGCCCACCCCCGCCGCGGGCGTGAAGTGAAGATCTCTTTCCTCTCATCGTAAGGTACCATTCTGGCCTACCTACACTACAGAACAATGGCATGGAAACCATGATACTGGGTCCACGGGGGAAGCGAAGAAGGAAGTCGGAACCGAGACTAGACGTCCCGAAGGGTGTTTTGGGCGTGCCCGACGTGGAGGGCTTCATTTCGACCCGAGACATTGATCACATCACATCGCGATTTCAAACATTCCCCTGCCGTCGTTGTCGCTATTTAGTAAGCAAGTACTGTAGTGTGATGTGCCATGCCATGTGCGTACGCACGCGTGAGCAGGTGTAAGTGTGAAAGTGAATACGAGTGTGATGAGTGAGTGGTGGGTTGTACTCTGTGTAGTGTATAGGGAGGAAAGACTTCAGTGGATGAGGCGCGCTTGTGCGCTCGGTGTTTCTGGATACGATTGCTTAGTACATTTCTTTACGTACCTATGTAGTAAGTACGCCAGCAACATTATATTTGCGCGTCTACCGCTTACGTAAACCAGGCGCATCAGGTCCCCTACTTAGTCTACACATAAATACCAAAGAACGATGAACGAACGAACGAACGGCTGATAAGCCGCACACAGTCCTGTCAGAGCTGTCCTTCATTGTGTTCAGCGGCTATTCACAAGATTAAGGTCAGAGATGAGAGATCAGAGATCAGAAAGCAGCTGACTACACACAAGAGATCCCCCCTTTGCTGGCTGTAGTGCGTAAATGAAATCAAAAATGCAGATGTGCCAGTTGCCAATGTACATCAAGCATCACAGCCGGATGCGAGCGCGGGAGATCGTCCCCCGCCGTCCCGTGTTTCAAAACTCCAACCCACGACTATCCTATCGCATCTTCAGATATCCAATGTACAGTATACACGCTACATAGCTTCTACTATGGATGCAAGAGAGGCAGCATGTTCCAGAGCGCGGGCTAATTATCTTAGTAATCATCACCACCAGAAGAGGCTTGAAATCAATCCTCCCCTGCTTTCTCTCCTTTCTCACTAGCATCCACAGCTTCGAGACAACAAGGACCCCGGCTTAGAGAACTGCCGAAGAGCATGGGGTCGTGGAGAAGACTTGAGGGAAGGGGGGGGGTCATTCAGGGGCTAGCCGTGGCCGTGGCCAGGAGGGATCTGTGCCGTGCTTGGTATACATAGTACATAACTACGGGTAGGAGGTTCGGCAAGTCTATAATGAGGGTTGGTCGATGATCCATGTACTTTTGAATAATTTGTTAGTGGTTGTGATATTGGTTGATGAACTTGCTGCTGAAACATTTAACGGCACCGGAAATCATGGGTCACTCCTACCTACTGCAACCTTACCTGGGCCCCGTCTTTTTTGAATTGTTTTTGGTGGTGTTACATGCCGGTTCCCGAGGGCGGCTGATTGTTGGAACAGTCAATGATTGGATAGGTAACTCAATATACATCAGCTCAGGGTCGTTTGTGATGGATGGCAATGGGACTTTAAGATGTTGACTTGATAGATAGTCGTAGTTTTTTTAGTTTTTTTTCTTCACTTCTTAGTATGTAGGGGATGATACAATTTCTTCGCGACCGCTTCCGAAAAGAAAGAAGCCTGTCTGATGAAAAGCAAAGAATATTGTTATATTGATATCGGGATATAAGCAAGGGGTAGAGTAATTGGAGACAACGTTCGTCGTTGGGGCGGAAGCCCGCATCAAGTATTGAGAGCATGGCGTAAAGGAAGGAAGGCAATATTTGCGATACTGGTGCCACAGATATCTCAGTACTGTCAACACATTTTGTGGGATCCTTCCCTCTTTCTCTGACCAAAGACACGTGGCTGCGCTTACAATGCAAGACGATGATGTTGCTGGCCTACCGATTCTTGCTCTGGAAAGAGAGGATGTTGCGAGAAAAACCGAGTTCAGTTTTTGGCGCTGCGATGGGGGAGAGAGACACCTCAAACAAACGACCAACTTCTATGCGAACCATATTGATACAAAACCACCGTTGTATCCAATCGTAACATATGTTACACCTAATGCGTTGATGCAATATCTTTTCCTGTAAACGCTCGTAGCCCTTCAAGCACCCAGCTTGAGACGGTCAAGCATCTTATCGATCTTTTCCAGCAAGATCTGGTAGTTGACCGCATCCGACACAAACTCATCCTCAACCAACTTCCCGTCTAATGTTCGTAGACCACCACCTCCCTCCTCCTCACCATCACGTTCAGTGCTTTTCCCCACTTCCTCTCCTCCCACTTCCCTCTGGCCGTCAGAAGGCTGTTCGAGACGGATTTCCCCATCCTCAGCCTCTAATGCCAGGTCTTCTACCTGAGCAGCATCAATCTCGCCCTCCTCATTCAACATCTCTTCAATGCCATCACCCTCGAACCGGAACCGAAATCGCTCGCCCAGGTAATACCGAATATCGTCCAGCAACTCGATAGTGTCCGTCTCCTCACGCCTCTTGAGCCGGGACGCACTTTCCTGAATCAACTCGGCGAACTCCTCTTCGTCGATGTAGTCCTCCAATCGACTGGCCAGGTACCGGGCGGCGAAATCTTCCAGACGCTGGACTTTAAGGTCCCAGGCGGCGTGGATGACATCGTAGACGTTGATGGGTTCCACTTCGACTGACTGTCCATCCGCTTCCGGCGATGATCCAGTTGGTGTTTGTTGCTGCCCGCTCGAAGGTGCCGAAGTCGACGTTGCGGGTGGTGGCGATTGTAGCTCTTCCGCGGCCCCACCATGGGTGCGGTCTACCAGCGCGTTGCTGGTACCGCTGCCTAGAGTGCTGATTGCCACCGCGGCTTTGGTCTTGAGCTTATCCAACAGTAACATGTCCGCCGCGTAGAGAAGATCCAGAGCCAGCTCGAGCGGGCAGTCAGACCTCTCGGTGTAGAGGAATGTTAGGATGATCTCCAGAACTTCGGGAAGACAGTCCACCTTGATGATGTGGAGATGCTCGGTTTCCTTGGCTTCCATGAACTCGGAGGAGAACATGGTTTCAAAATAGGGACTGCGGATGAGAAAGGCTTTGTGCACCGGGAAGAGGACTGAGCGTTTGGGCTTTTTCGCACCATTCGAAGTTCCGTTTGTTGAGTTCAACGCCGCTGTGGGGCCAATGGGAATACCATGACGAGATATGAGCGCCTCTTCCGCGGGCTCAACGACATCTTCTCCTTCACCCTCGTCGAACTCGTCCGCACGCAACAAACAGTTTGCGGAAAAAGCGTTGTCTCGGGGCCATTTCACGTCCCCCACCCGACAAGTGTCAACTGTGAACTTGTGCTTTAGGACCGTGTCTCGGAAGTAAGCAGTTACTTGAGCCTGAGCACGCTGGACCTCATCTTGATGCCTCTGGCGCGCCAAGCGTCGGTCGGTCGTTGAAAGAACAGCTTCCCACAGGTGGGCAATTTCGAGCTGCTTGCAGAGCTTGTCGATCCCCTTGAAAACCTCCTCCTCAGTGGCTGTACTCCGAGGTCCAACAAGGTCGCGTGGAAGTTCACCAAGATAGAGATATCTTATGACGACCCGAAAAGCCTCGACAGGAATGGAGTGGGATAGTTTCCAAGTGCTAGTTTCAGGAGCGTCGGCGAATTTTCTTCGGAAATAGGGCGACCTGGAAGAGAGGATGAATTTATGCAGATGGAACGATTCAGAAGCTGTGAGGAGACTGATGTCTGTCGTCTTCGGAATCTCGCGGACAAGCAACGAGGTGATATGGGATGACCAAGCCTGTAAAGGATCCGCAGTCTTGGTGTAATCATAGGAAAGTAGCAAATTCCGAATCTTGTTGTTCAGAGCGTTGTAGACCGCGCGCTCTCGCTCGAATGAATCGGGGTCGGCCAGAGCACCTGGACTTGCGTGTAAGTGACTGGATGGTGGAGAGTTGGCGCTTTGCGATAGGACATACCGGATTCTAACAGGAGTTGCACCAGTTCATAATGCCCGCACAGACTTGCCTTTTGAAATATTAGTGCTACTGCAGAATTCAAAGAGCCTGAGGTGGCTTTCGAGAACATCACATACGATAATGAGTGGAGTATAGTCATATTTGTCTTTGCCATTGATGTTGACGCCACCTGAGATCAACTCCTGACAGTGCTTCAGATCGCCTCGACGGCACGCTTGTATGAATTCATGAAACTCTGGGGAATCATCAAACGGATGCTCATTGCGGAGGACGCCTTGGCGAATTAGTTGTTCATCGTCCTTGAGCTTGAGCTCGAGCTGGTCTTTGCGAAGTACCATCTTTTCTGTGCGTATATTTCCTTTGGTTTTGCCAAGTTTTGAATGCTACAAGGAAGGGGTATCGTTATCAAGGAACTAGGAACAGAACGAGAAGTTTATATTCGGAGGAGAATTGCACTGAAGGAGGGTGGCGGCACCGCAAATGGGTATCTCGGGTGCCGGAGATATGTAAGCAGACGGACGACCAACGCAATCGGGTCGGCTACGGGGCGCTAGCACGGACCAAAGAGCCGATGCGGGAAGTCGTGACGGATCGCCACCGGATGGTCGACGGGACAGCCGATGAGTTGTACCTAGGTAGAGGTAGTGTACTATGGTGATATGGGTAAGTTTAACCCGTGGGCCAGGTCGTCGACCACACAGTGCTCACGAAGCGTTGGCTGTGGTGGTCCGTGCCAGGTACGTGACAAGGGGGTTTTACTTTGGCTCGCAACCGCAGTACACATCTTATCTTATCATAGCTTACTGGTGTTATCGATAAGGTTTGCTGGCAGGCGGCGGCTTACAGGTATTGGTAGGTACTCTTTCAATGTTTAAGGTGGTACGCTGCCTCACCGCCCCGCGCCAGTTGCTGGGCAACGCGATGTTGACTGGTAGTAGGGATTCTCCCTTTGACAGGTTCGCAGGCGGGCAGCCCATCCGAAGCGTCCACGACCAGCCGGGCCGCCCAACAAGACCCGGAACCTAACTTCGATTGGTTACACGCAATCGTGCGCATCCTTTCCCGGCACTAGAATACACCCATCGCAATCACCATACACCATCGCATTCATCACATCCATCGCATACAACGCTGCTATTGCATTACCGGCACCTCTTAGACGACAGGGCCTATCCTTCAACACGGTACACTTCCCGAAACGATTGTCTTATGGATCAGGCAGCATATTCTTCCCAATTCATGATAGCCTGTCAGAGGTCCCGTTGATCTAGTCAACCGCCAACATGTCGGAGAGCGACAAGTACGAGCTTCTAGAAAAGATCGGTATGCGAAAACACCCTCTCCCAACCATCGAACGGCGCTCCACATGCACATGCACAAAGGGTAGCAGTGACATTGATGGCTGACAACGATTTGCTTGACAACCACAGGCCATGGCTCGTTTGGCATCATTCGAAAGGTGCGGCGCAAAGCCGACGGCATGATCCTCTGCCGCAAGGAGATCAGTTACCTCAAGATGTCGCAAAAAGAGCGTGAACAGTTGCACGCCGAGTTCTCGATTCTCTCGACCCTACGGCACCCCAATATCGTCGGATACTACCACCGCGAACATCTCAAAGCTACCCAAGACCTACATCTCTACATGGAATACTGTGGCAATGGCGACCTGGGCCGTGTTATCCGCAACCTTATTAAGAATAACCAGTACGCGGAGGAATCGTTCGTCTGGAGCATCTTTTCCCAGCTTGTCACCGCTTTGTACCGCTGCCACTATGGCGTCGACCCTCCAGAAGTCGGCAAGACTGTCCTTGGTTTGGGCTCAACAGCAAGGCCAAAACCTCCTTCGGGTGGCATGACTATTCTGCACCGCGATCTCAAGCCAGAGAACGGTAGGTGACCCTGTGATGCGTACGTGGACTGGTCTAACGTGCTGCCTCGTAGTGTTCTTGGGCGAAGACAACTCGGTAAAGCTTGGTGACTTTGGACTCTCCAAGGTCATGCAGTCGCACGACTTTGCCTCGACCTACGTTGGCACCCCCTTCTACATGTCGCCGGAAATCTGCGCGGCAGAGAAATACACGTTAAAGTCGGATATTTGGTCATTAGGATGCATCATATACGAGCTTTGCGCCCGAGAGCCCCCATTCAACGCCAAGACGCATTACCAGCTGGTTCAGAAAATCAAGGAGGGCAAGATTGCGCCATTACCTTCCGTTTACTCGGGAGAACTCTTTGCAACAATCAAGGATTGCCTGCGCGTGAACCCCGATCGAAGGCCAGACACAGCCACACTTCTGAACCTGCCGATTGTACGTTTGATGAGGAAGGAAAAGGAAGTTGTGGAATTTAGCAGGACTCTCAGAACGAAAGAGGAGACCCTGAACAAGCGTATCCGCGAGCTTGACAGCAAGTTGTCCGCACTCGAAACCGAAAAATCGTCCATTCGCGCCGAGATCGATGCCTCACTGAGAAGGGAATGGGAAGTCAAGGCGCGGTTGGAGATTGACCGTTTGGTGGCCCAGGAAATCGAATCTCTACAACAAAAGTTCGAGCAGGAGGTTCAGGCGCGGGTAGAAGCAGAGCTACAACGCCACGGGAGAGGACCCATGTTCAACAGTCATGGCCAGCAGGGCTCGTTTTCTTCGACTGCTGCTACATTGGTGTCTGACTACAACCTGTCCTCAGTCGGTAGCGGTGACGGCGACTTCCCTTCTACTACGGACATCACCGATATCTCGATTGCCGAGTCGACTGATGGCTGTGACATCACAAAGAAAATCCCGCGAACACCCTTCCACAGAGCGCAGACATATTCTTCCGCACCCGCTGAATCTGTACTTGGCACGCCAATGGACATTGAAATGGCCTCACCATCACCTATCACGATCGCCTCCCTCTCCCTTTCGCCCCGTCGGATGGCTTTGACAAAAGCGCCGACCACAAACCCACGGATGATTTTTGGCGAGGAGCCAACTTCTACAGACAAGAGCAACTGGGAGGTCCCAAGAGAAACAGAGATGATAGACTCTGGCGACGAGTCCGAAGCGGAGGCTCTGGTTCCTTCACCGAAACGTATCACTAAATCCAGCAAGAACCCTTTCAGTACTGTCACAACCAGGTCGAGGCCGTCGCTCAACTCGCAACAAAACTCCAATGTTCTTCCAATCCATGGTTTACGCTCCAAACAGACGTTAGCCACCCGCTCTAAGACAGTTAGTGGACATTCGTCGATAGGACAACACCCCCTTCGTTCCGCACCCAGCGCTCCCTCCCTGCGAGACCGCAAACCCAGCCCAACCCGACGACTCAGTAGGATACCATCGGTAACGGGCGTGGGCAGAAGACTCAGCGCGAACAACATCAACAACAGCAGCAACGGCGGTAGTGACGCCCCATCCTCGACCGTCACGTCCAACATAACCGTCAGAACAAGAGGTCTCAAGCGGATGTCGTCCACATGCGATGAATCGTCGTTCAGCCAGCAACAAAACAACCAACCACAACAGTCACTGCCACAAGCTCCGCCTCTTAAGAAGATCGGACTTATGGCCGCCAAGAACATTCGCGGAAGCTCGCTTGTCGAGCTGCACCAGGCTCGCGCCGGTGGTAGGCCCATCAGCGCGATCATTTCCAACGAAGCCAAACTACGCGCCTTTAAGGAACACGCGACAATCGCGGCGTCAGCAGTGGACAGCAGCAGCAGCAGTAGCAGCAGTAGCGGACAGTCGCAATTACCGACCCGACCACGATCACAACCCCAACCGATAACCGCAAACTTTGAGCAGCAGCAGCAGCAGCAGCAGAGTAATACCAACAGCATCTCCTCTTCCAACAGCGCAGGCAGCGGCAGCGCCACTGGAACGGGCACTGGGGCTGGGACAAAGTCGATGCCATGGCCGGTAGCTCCCGTATGGAATCGGGAGGTGGAGACGGAGGAAATGCCCAGTCCGTTTATTGTGAAGACCTCGAAAAGGCCGGCGAGCTTTGTGAGGCCGGCATCGAATTTGAGTCAGAGCTAGACCGACTGATTGAATGGACAGCTTCGCCCGCCCGCCCGCTTCCTTCATCTTCATCATCGTCATCATCATCGACACCCATCATCGGCTACTTCTGTCTCCTTGCCGATTTTTCATTCGGGGTTCATCAAAGCATTTTCTGGTTCGGCTTCTAGTTCTGGCATAGATTCAAGTTGGATCAGCAAATGCATAGGCATCGCATCAATCATCGCATGGCGTTAGGGCTAAGGGGAGAGCAGACGGGTGGAAAAGTAACAGAGGTGAAAGAGTGAATTAAGAGAGAGAAGGATTGAAAAGCGAACAAAGGACCACATTCTGCTCGGGCTTGGGTGTGGGCATGTACACGTATACATGCACGTAACGGAATGGAAGCGGTTTGCCCTCCCTCTTGCGAGCTTGTTATTCAACCTGGTGATTACTGTAAAGTCATCTTTTGGCTACGGCGTTGGCTAATGGTTCTAGAGAGATCAAGTGGCAACGTAATCGAAGCAGACTATGGTTCCTGAGCAATCAGATTCTTCCAGGGAGTTTCTGTGGCGTTGGCGGTATTAGGAATGGCCTGGGGATATAATGAATGACATGACACGACATGAATTACGCATTCTGTGTGTGAGGTACTAGGAGGCGTAAACAGCTACTAGTGTTCAAATTACTTCCACTGCAGCATGGAAGAACCCACAATCGTTCGTTCAAAATCGCAATCTTAGTACTTTTCTGTGGTATCTGTAGAGTACAACGTATTCGCCTTTCGATATTCAAAAGCTTCTTGCCATTCCTCCCTTCCTTTCGAACCAGCCTGGTATCCCAAAATAATCATGAAAAGTTAGGGTACATATCCCAAGACTCCATGAAACGCTCTTTCTCACTCTTTGGCCATAATTCCCGATGCCTATCTGAATTCAGTCTTCATCAAGTGGTTTGTTCAAAAACTCCACCTAACCTATTTTCTCTCCGAATCCCCTTTAATTTTTCAGCAGTCTGCAGCGTCCTGCCACCTAGCTTGGTCTCCTCCTTCTCGGCCTCCTTCTTCATCCTGTTGAGCGGAGAACCCAGAATTCTCCCGATCACCTAGTTCGGCGCGACGAGGTTCTGGATGCCAATCACTTCGATACCACCACCCTGCCTCGCGGGGACCTTCTTAGTCGTCTGCTGAATCTCCTCTAGCGGGAGGAGCTTGTCCCTTTGTAGGGGCTCCAGCAGGTAGCGTCTGTGCCAGGGCCCAACAAACATGCCCTCGGGGTCGACGCTCTCGCGGACGGCGCCCCACCGCTGGAGGTCCTCGCCGTACCACCTTGCTAGGTCGGCCTGGGTCGCGGTGAAGGTCTTGGCCCAGTGCGGCTTGCCGCCGAGCTCGCGCATGAGCCACTCGAAGCCGAGATAGTAGCGCTCCGTGGCGTTGTAGGTCGGCTCACGGTGGTAGGGGCGATACATGATGGCGTTGAGATAGAGCGTGGGGCCGTCACACTGCGTGGGGTCAAGGAAGGGGCGCGTGTTGGCCTCCCGCGAGGTGTAGACGGTCGAGTCGCTCGCACGCACTTCGACGGGGCTGTGAACCCAGAGACCCTCGGCGCTGTAGGGGATGCCGTGCTCAACATAGCCGGGGTCGCCTGGCTTCAGGTTCTGAAGCCAGGCACCAAGACGCTGTAGAGCCTCGGGTCCCTTGTGGAGGGGGATGGCCCACTCGTTGACGGATTGGCTGTATAGGCAGTTCAGCAGGAAGGCCTTCTGGCTGGGCTGAACGGCGCCAATCCTCGTGACCTCGCCGTTCTTGAAACCATACTGCATGCCGAAAACGAACCACTCAATCCAAGGCGTGATGCGCGGGACCCATCTGGAGAGAGCAAGAAGGTTGTGATAAACATAGTAGCCCAGCCAGCTATCGTAGTAGCTTGTTGGCGGCTCACGGTGCTTGACGGCGCCGGTCTTCAAGTCGACCGGGTCGACAACGTGGGCAGTCCAAACAGCGGCGCGGCGCATGTAAGGAAACCACCAAATACGCACAAACTCGGCCTGGCTCCAGAGATCCTTCTCCCATTGCTCAAAGATGCGCTTATCCGAGTCGATTGCCTGGCTCCAGGCAAGTGAGAAAGCTGGGACAGCCTTGAAAGTGACCTCGGTGATGATACCCAAGGCACCGAGGGAGATCAAGGCGGCCCGGAAGAGATCAGGCTTGTCCTCTGGGGAGCACGACAACGTCTCGCCATTGGCAAGAGTAATCTTGAGCTCAGTAATGCTTTCACCGACAAGACCATGCTTGATGCCGCTGCCGTGCGTGCCCGTGCTGATGGCGCCGGCAATGCTCTGCTCATTGATGCTGCCGAGGCTAGGCAAAGCAAGCCCGCGGCGGTCCAGCTCGTCACTGAGCTGGTAAAGACGGATACCTGCCTGCACAACAACGAGACCGGTCGAATGGTCAACGGAGATAACCTTGTTGAAGTTGTCCAGGTTGACGAGCCAGGACGAGGTACAAGTGATGTCTGAAGGAGAGTGACCGCAGCCGGTGGTAGTGACACGGCGCCGGGCATGACGGGCCAAGCGGACGACCTTTTGAATTTCTTGGACAGATTCGGGTTGAATATAGAGCTCGGGCAAGCTCGTGAAAGTGCCAGCCCAGGTTCTGTGGACATGAGCGGTCTTTGCCCGGAAAGGAATGCCGCCATCGCGCTGGCTGGCGAGCTCGATGATCTCGCGCACGTTGGACGGGAGGGAGGCGAGCGCCGGGTTGCTCTCGGTCGCCATGTTAAGCGGTGGGGTTTCCCCAGATGATGTTAAATGAAAAGTTTGGCCCAATCTATACAAATGAGCATGAGGAGAGAAAGATTGGTCTTTATGAAGTTACAAGGACAGGGACAGCGATAAAGTTGCAATGACTTCGGTTTGTCGTGCGATCGATGGCGAAAGCGGCCGGAGTGGAGATCCGGATATTTTCTACAAGTACTGCGTATAACCAGAACGAGCTACTACCACTGCGTGCCGAGGGCGGGGAAGTCGCAAGAGGAAATCACGGCAGCAGCGCCAACAGGTTTGAACCTCACGATGGTAGGCAGAGAGTGCAAACCTTTGATTGGGTTGAGGATCGATGAATGCGCCAGCCATAGATAAACTGTGCGAAGTGAAACTGAGAAAAGCAAATCATAAAATGATCAACGCGTTGCATCAGACAAGGGATTTTGGAGCGGAGGAGGGGCTCACGATACTTTGACCAACCCATCGCCTCTACTGATTGGTCAGACTTCGTTTAAGTCGTTTTCTAGATTTCTTGGCTCTGTAACCCTTGGTGATGTTTTGCAGCATCAGCACTGGCGACAATTGTTTACTTTCTCAAATGGACTGAGGCGAGGCTCAAGCGTCGATTCACATTTCACCTTGAGATAATGTGACTTCTTGAATAGGATTACAGGAAGCTATCTGCTTAATCTTCCTCTGGGATCTCATATCTCAAAGACCTTTCGAGCACCAAAGGTATTGGCAAACCCTGGAGGCCAGCCGTGACGATAGTTATCCCCTGACTCCGCCCCACGCTTTTACCACTGAGTTGCGGGAACAACGCCGCATTCCTCAGACATCTACCACCCAAGATCGTTAACATCCCGTGTGACCTTTTTTTTTATATATCTTTTTTCCTTTTTTTTTTATGTTTTTTTTTTGGAGGGGGGGGGGGGGGGGGGGGAGATAGTATTGTGCAGAGCTGTATACGGAAGCCGAAAGCACAAAACTGCTCTTCAAAAAGCTGACAAACGTCATCTTCTCCTGTGAATGTGAAAGTAGCCACCCCAAAATGCCAGATCCCCAGCTGCCAGTACCCCAATATTCTGAGCGAAACTCTGAGCTCTCACACCTATGTAAGCCAAATTCTTGCCTGTATGCTGGCCCGAAACTCTCAAACTCTCAAGGTACCCACCTCCCGATACAGTGCGACTCGGCCGTCTCTAGGCTTGATCTGGTAGCAAAGGGTGACCGGATCACCAGCGAGGTTCTTCTTGCAGTACTTGCAGTCGATTTCTCTGGTTGCCATGGACACTGGGCCCTCCCACTTATTGTCGCACATGGCCTTGATGCAGAGCCACTGGCCCTGGTGTTCTTCCTTGCCCAGCTGCTTATGGACATATTCGGGGTTTCCTGGATGACTGGCCAAGCATTTCATGATATGTTGGATCATCGTCTCGTTGGTCGCAGGTGGTTGATTGCTATCCGGGACAACGTTCTGGATAATATGGCTGACCTTGCGCGCAAGATCCTGATACTCGTTCTGTTCCTTGTTTGTGAAGACAGCATCATTGCTAGGTTGCTTGTTGTCTTTCTTGTCGGAGCCCAGCGGACAGGTCTTTGCAGTGTGGCCGTGCCAGTCGCAGAGTTGGCACGCGGCACTCTTATCTCCGGGAGCAGGATAGCCAATCGAAGCCGACGAGCGTAGGTCGTTCAATTTGAGTGACTTCAAAGGGATATGAAAGGTTTCCGGGCTAGGAGGCGGAGGTCTGGGAACCTCAGGAGTAGTATGAAATGTGCCCGAGCCCTTTGCGGGCGGAGGGATCGGAGAACCGTTCACACTTCTTGGGACAGTATCGATAGGCTCGTTGTCGAATTCTCGCTCGTAGTCTGGGGTGGAAACCCGTGAAAACGAAGTCGTGGCAGTGGTGAACTGGACAATCTTGGGAGTAGGAGGTCTGTAACTCGTACTGTCGAATTGATCATAGGGCTGGGGAGCACTTGTCGCAAGAGGAAAGCTGGTGTAACGCGATGGAAGTGTCGAATACAGGCCCTCGATGTAGCCAGAAGCGCTGTGCATAGGAAATTGGTTTGCCATGGGAGGGACATATCTCACGGCTCCCGGTGGAGGCTGAGGTCCCGGTGGAAACTGGGTTGGGATATACTGCGCTTGCAGCTTTGACGCGACAGAAGTCGACGCATAGCTAACGTACGGAACAGATTCTTCGCGATCGTCGACCGGAGAGTCGCGGCGGCCGTGGCGGGATTGATGGTCGCTCATTGCGAGATCATCAAGAGGAGTTGAAATAGCTCTTTGCCGGCGAGAATAGTCTCAGGGACGACGATGTCACGCAGGACTTGTCAGTGTTGAGCGGAGAACGGCTCGTTGGCCACAGTGACAGAGAGCCTTCTGGACAAAAGTTTGGTATTGGAATTGTTGTCGAACAAACTCCCGGCCCTCATCAGACAAGATGTTCTGGGAAGAAAAAGTTGTTGCGTGGGCGAGTGTCTCGTAGCTTTCGGGAAGACAACAAACGGGGGATATGATAGATTGGCCGATAACCAAGGGCGAAGTAATGGAATTGCTTGGTAGTGAATGGACGATGTCTGGTCCAAAGCTCAGGCCATGCTGGGTTGAGAGTATTTGACTTGAAGATGGACGGTCCGAGTAATTTGTTTTACGAGCCGCTCCTTCCTTTTTTGAACACAAGTTCCCCCCGAGTATCGAGAACTGTGGGGGGAAACAAGAACTCGACCACTCCGTTGATACCAATCCTGCTCTTCAATTTGAACAGCCCACCGTAATGTTCATTCCGTCAAATTGGTTTCGTCCATGCCACCCATTGTATTCTGGTCCAGTCGTTGTTTGCGTGTCTTTTCATCCCATTTCGGCCATGTCCACGTAGAACGCGTCAAGCTCTCATACCCGACCCCGAGCATCTTTTAACCCACTACCCCTCTTCACCCGCGTTCATTCTCCATTTTTTCCCCCTTACCAAGGTTCTCCCCCATACTCTGTTCTTCCTTCATATCTCTAGTCAAACCTTATCATCAACCTTCACGCATCGTATCCTTCGAGGCCCTGGCCTCCTTCATCAAGTAACACTTGAGAATAACAACCTCTCAATCTCACGCAGCCGTTCCTCGCTACCATGTTCTACAGTCACGAAAGTAAGTAGCTTCACTTCTCATTCGACGACGAGACGAGGGCGAAGCATTACTGACTCCTTCACCAGTCTTGACTAACCAGCAGTATGGTGTTGCCACCGTGTGGTAAGTGAACCTGGACGAACCTCAGTAAACCTTTCTGTGACTTCTAGGTGAGACAACTCAGCTAACGCAGCTCTACTCTCGCTCCAGGTTGGTTTCGACCTTTGGTCTAAGATCAAGCAACAGGAAGATCTCGCGTAAGGCAATCCAAGAAGTCAATGTCAGGAAAGCCTGCGAGACCATCCTCCAGCCGGGCGCACCCATTGCTTTGCGGCTGCAGGGAAGTCTGCTATATGGCGTTTCTAGAGTCTTCTCCCAGCAGTGCACCTATGTGCTCACCGACGCCGAGAAGATCCATATGCACATGAGATGCTTCTACAATGTCTTGGGAGGCACCGGGAATGCCCTTGATCCGCAAGCCGGGAAAGCAAAGTATGTCTACCCCCTTCTTCTTGCCCGTGACCAGATAAATGTGTCAATCTAACCTCACATTCGCAGGCGCAACCAACTCATCCTCCCGGATGATCCAAACTTCGAGGTCAACATGGGGCTCCCAGCCTTCCGCTTAGACGAGGATGGAAACCTGGCTTCCCTAGTCCAGAGTCAGGCCTCATGCAAGACTTCGTCCCAGTTCTCTCCATTGGACAGATTCAATCTCACACCGGACGGAAGCGGTTCCTTTCTTCTTGGCCTTGATCTCCCTCAGTCTTCTCCTGCCGACCCGCTGTATTCTCAGCATTCTTCCTACTCCCTGGGGCCTCTTTCTCAACATAAGCCTGACGACGATATGATGGAGTTTGGCGAATCCGAGGCCAACGCCGAAATCTTTGGCGATTGGGGAATCGAGATTGACGCTGACGGCAACGTGATGGCAACTGTCGACGAGCCTGAGCTGCCTATTCTTCCTCGCCCCGAGGAAGAGCGAACTCGTGTCACTGCCTTTGGCCAAGGTCATGATGAGTCGGAATTATCCTTTGACGACCAAGGTGACTTGCTCATGAGCGGAGGTACGGCCCCTCCGCCCGATGCCGATGAAATTCCTGGCCTTGTCCCCGACCAAGTCGAGCAAGCTCAGGAAGACCAATTTATGGAAGATGTCGAAGAAGCAAAAGTCATTGCGGAGGAGCCTGTGGTTCAAACAGTCGCCACACCTGTCCAACGTCGTCAGCGCCGCCGTACTGTGCTGGTACCTGACCATGATACCAAAATCAGTCGCCACGAATTGAAGTCGTGGAGCACCGATTATCTTGTCAATGTCGAGCGGGCGAACAACGCTGCCGTACGCGCTGCAGCCATGAACCCGACTACTGCCAAAAAACACGCATACGAGCTCATATTTGGTCGTGGAGTTGGCCGTGTAGGCGCCCTTGAAAGCGGTCTTAACTTCGGAAACCATCGCAGCCATCCACTGGCAGCTCTGTTTTCCGGCGCCAATTTTGCTAGCGAGGCCTTGGGCGTCAACATCGATGAGGAGGTTGAAGCCGAGGGAAGACGCAGCCGTCGACGCACCGCCCTCGAAGCCCTCGAGTTAGAGGAGGAAGGTGCCGAGAGACGTGTACGTCGTCGCCTTAGTGATGAAAACGGAGAAGAGCATCGAGCGCAAGCGCAGCAAAACGCCGAGCCGCAGACTGAGGCAGGCCGTGGCGGCTTGCCTACTGGAGGAGCCGAAGAAGACGCCGAGATTGGAAGAAGAGATGGCTCAGCACTGCCCGACATTCCCTCCGACGCACCCTGGAACCGACCCTCTTCCCTGGTCCCAGGCTCATCGGTGAAAGGCGACAATCACCACCGCGGATCCAGCCGCCAAGTGAGCGCCAGTCCCCTCCACAGCCGCGGCAGCCACTTGGCCCACCTCCCCCCCATCGATCGCTTCAGCGACGCAGGATCCTACGCGCCCTTCTTGCACTCCGGCGGCGCCCCTGGTTTCTCATCCGACCCCATCATGCCACCTGGAGAGGATGAACCGCAGCTTCCGCATTTGCCTGGCGGTCCTCAGGGTGGCCGTGACCTCTTGCGCCGTACTCCTTCCGGCGAAGCTGAAACGACTGCTACCCAGGCTGCGGCCGAAACCTCCCAAGTAATGCGCGACGCTCTAGACCGCGACGGCCACAACTTCCTGGCTTACGTTAATATGGTAGCCAAAGCCAGAGGGGAGACGCGGTCCCTTGGCGGCGGCGTTGCTCCACCCTCTTCTTCCCATGCCCACGGAGACGGAAACGACAGACTTCTCAGACAGTGGGTTGCCTTTGACGAGCTGTTGGATGAACCTAGAGACAGAACCCGACAGGTGGCGACTCAGGCTTTCTACAACGTCTTGGTCCTCGCGACCAAAGACGCGATCAAGGTAGAGCAGGACATGGAGGGCTTCCAGCCGTTTGGCGAAATTCGCGTGGGCGTTGAGGTGTCGGAGGCTGAGATGCTAGCTCTGATGGAGGAGGATGGTGACGAGTGAGTGATGCGGAGATTTGCGAAGAATGCACACGTATCGGCGCAATCGATGCCAATCTTGCGGTTCTTTTATCTATTATTATTTTCCGGTTCGGGTTGTCGGGTGGGTAAATGGGAAACAGGATGCATGTGCTCCCCTACGCTGTGAGATTATGATTGGGAAAAGGGCCAGATGGGATTACCATCTTGAATGGTTTGCTAAGCAATTATGCCTCTGGCAAAAACCCTCTGGCGCATGCGGAAGACAGGATCACAGTTTCTGCGGAGGATATAGGGAGCTGATCTTCGGAGAAGTATGGGAAGGGGACAACGGACTTCAGGCAAACGGCAACTTTGCAACACGCTGGGGCTCACTTTGACAGAAGGCAAGCTTGTAATTTTGCAACTGAGCAATTTCACAGCAAATCAGTTACCAGATAGCAGTGAGATGGATTGGCAATTGAAAGATAGAAGTAGATTGATATTAATCTTTTTCAAATATGTTACGGAATGTGGGGAGGGCGGTGCATAAGATAGTAAAGAGACCAGCCCTTACCATGGTCATCGCCAAGAATCATTCATCATAATCATCATCCACGGGTTCACGAGCAGTGAAGACCATGTACTCTGCATCATCAACTGCGTCGCCAACGACCTTCTTCCACGCCTCACGGACATGATTCAGCGATGCGTCGTCCATCAAGAGGGAAAGAGATGGGCCTGGCAGATCAAGAATCAACCCATCATGTCGGCTTTGCTTCACACCAGCAGCCTGCTCATAGTATAACTGATACAAGCACTGGGGGACTTGATCACGGTCCACAGCGAAAAGCAAGGATTCAAGAGAGCGACTCAAGATCTCCTTGGAGTTGGAAGTCGCCATTGTGGACAAGTATAAGACACCTGTTGGTTTCCAGTCAGCCATTTGAGCGCAACAAGTGATGAATGATGCGAAAAGGTTGAACGGATGGGAGTACGATCAGAATGTCAGAGGTAGTTATCGTCAACGCCGAGGCTTGGACAATGTAGATAAGTATTCAAGATGTGGATCATCATAGTACTCAAAATGGGTAAAATGAAGGGAGCAAAGAAATAAAGGAAACTTACTCTGACCATTGGGACATTCACCAGTGCCGCTCGAGTGAGCGAAAACATAGACTGGGTCAGTGTTTGCTTCGCCAGGTGTTGTTAGTGAGCCCGGAGGCAGAGCGACGACCGCAACGCAGGGAGTCGGCGCCCCGTCGACGGTAGACTCAAACAAGATCTTGAGCGGAGAATCAACAACGGCCACTAGCCTGCTGATGCTCGGCTCGTCACCAACGCTTTCGTCTCCACGCACGAGCAACTTGGTTTTCACCTTATCGCCGCTGGTCAGCTCGAGCTCGATCTCGTCAGTAGCAGTATCCATTGACTTGATACCAGCGCCAAGCATGTAAACAGCACCACCAACCGCACCGGCTCGACAGGCGACCTGGGCAATCTCGGAAATACCGCCCCATTTGGGATAGAGAGCAGCAAAGCCGGGGCCAAAATGACCCATAGAAGTAAGATGGCGATGGACGACGAACAATCCATCCTCGGTATTGATCCGGCCATCCAGCGAGAGCGTGAGGGTGATGATGTAGGTCTTGAGCTCGGTATCCA